GAGAGGGGGAGGGGGGGAAAGGATGGGTGGGTGGAAAGGAAGGAAGGGAAGAGAAGGGGAGAAGGAAGGAAGGAAGGAAAGGAAAGGAAAAACAGAAGGAAGGAAGGAAGAAAAGAAGGGAAAGGAAAAACAGAAGGAAAGAAGGAAGGAAGGAAAAGAAAGGAAGGAAGGAAAAGGAAAGGAAGGATGGAAGAGGGAGGGAGGGAGGACAGAAGAGAGAGGGAGGAAGGAAGGAAGGACAGAAGAGGGAGGGAGGAAAGAAAGAAGGGAAGAGGGAGGAAAGAACCGTACTTTTTGGCTCAACTGCTCCTTCTTGGGCGGGGGGGGTTAGACTACATGACCCACGAGGTCCCTTCCAACTCTGTTAATCTAATCTAATGTTTTTTTTAACTCTTTGCCACAAAGTTAGCCTCCTGACCACGTTTCTGCCACTTCGCTCCACTCCCTGCCCACGGAATCATTTCCCACATCTCTTATTTCGAGCTGTTTCAAACTTTCTCGCCTGCAACCTCCTTTCCCTTAAATAAATTTATTTTTGTACTTCTCCAACTCTTAAATATACCCTGCTCTGCTCTCTCTCCGCTTTTGGTGGGTGGGAAGCGCCATAAAAATGCCGTTAATCATACCCAACCCTCCCCCCAAAAAAGAAATTGCCCAGATTTTTTTCCGGTCAATAAAATGCTTTTATGGGGGCAAATTCTTCTCTAAGATGGTTTCCTGGGGCTGCCGTCCTTAAGTGAAACAGGGCAAGGAGAAGGTTAGGACACTATCCTATAAACCGGTTGGAACCGGTTGGAAACGGCCACTGGTTCCAAGTAACGGCCGTAACCAAAGAATGCAAATGATTATTGGCTCAAATTAATTGTGCACCGTTGAAACAAAAAGGGAGCTTTTATAATATTGAATCAAAACTCTTAAAGCTTGGGGGGGAAAGGTCGATCTCCATGGAGCATGAATCAGCCAGGGTCCACCGAAACCATTTCCGTAGCCAAAAAGCAGAAGGGGTGGGGTGGAGGTGGGGGGGTTGAGATGGCCCGGGGTGGGGATCCCACCAAACCAGTCTGACCAGCAAAACCAGCTCATCCCGTTTCTCTTCTTCAGCCGGTAGATTTTGGAAAGGTCTTACTTTGGTATCAGCCGTGATTCAACCTCTGGAGATGCTTCCCCAAATTATCCCCTCTGGCTTTCTCCTGCCCTTCCAGGTGGCCTCCTTGGCTTTTAATGACCGTTCCGAGTTACGGCGGCCCTGGAAAAAAAAGGAGCCCGGGACAGTTTTTCACACTTACGACCCTGGGGACGAAATTGGTGACGGGGTTTCCTCCTGGTGACTGTGTCCCCTTTTTGCGACCAGCAAAAGTCAACGAGGGGGCCCAGTGGCTCGCTTAACAACCGAGTGGTTGTAACTTAAGGACGGCAGGGATTCCTTGAACAACGGCGGCAAGGAAAGTCGCAAAACGGGGGAGGGAGGGGAAACGTCTCGCTGAATGGCGGAGCGTTGGGGCTCGGTTGCAGGTCATAAGTCGAGGACTATCTGGCCTTGGGGACTAGGTGGGAAGCCACACTCGGTCTTTAAATGGGGACATTTGGGGCACCGTTTCTCCTTGCCCCCCAAAAAGGATCAAGATGGGTTGAATGTCAAGTGAACATCAATGGCACATTGATTACATGCACCAATTAGGGGGGGGGGCTGCCCCCAGGGCAGTGACTGGCCGGCAGTGAAGGTCATTAGCTACGCAGGGTTGCAACAGGAGGGGTGCCGGAGCCGTGGGGCTCTGGGACGGAGCCCGTCGTAGTGTGGGAAGGCTTGGTGATGCACTCAAAGGTCATGCGCTGCGATGCGGCTGCCCCCACACAGGTGGAGACCCTGCAGGCTCAACCCTGGGGGAAGCTCCCTTGAGTCGTGGAGGGAGAAAGAGGGTTTGGGTGGCTGGAGAGGGGGAGGGTGGGAAAGGATGGGTGGGTGGAAAGGAAGGAAGGGGAGAGAAGGGGAGAAGGAAGGAAGGAAGGAAGGAAGGAAGGAAGGAAGGAAGGAAGGAAAGGAAAGGAAAGGAAAGGAAAGGAAAGGAAAGGAAAAACAGAAGGAAGGAAGGAAGAAAAGAAGGGAAAGGAAAAACAGAAGGAAAGAAGGAAGGAAGGAAAAGAAGGAAGGAAGGAAAAGGAAAGGAAGGATGGAAGAGGGAGGGAGGACAGAAGAGGGGGGGAGGAAGGACAGAAGAGGGAGGGAGGAAAGGAAGGAGGGAAGAGGGAGGGAGGGAGGAAAGGAAGGAGGGAAGAGGGAGGG